TTGTTTTTTTCTCTTTGCTATTGTGTACCCACTTGTGGTGCACGTTCTCCGATTAGAAGTGCCAAAAATGATCTAGTTGTTTTTGTTGTTGCTTTTTTCTATTCCACCCTAGAGCTCCTTACCGTGATTCCTGCCCTTGTGAGGGCAACGTACAGTGTCTGTTGCTGCCAGTCCCAGGCCCTGTGGGAGGAGACTGGCCTGCATCTTCTGAGACTTAGTCTGGACGACCACGCGCATCACTCTTGATTCTGTGTTCATCAGTAGTCCAGGGGAGACTTCTGCCACTTTCAGAGCTTTGCTAAACTAACCCAATTGTCAAATGCACCCCAGAACCACCAATCTCTGACCAAGCTTCCATATGCGACAGCCTGATCCGTTTCCCCTGGACAGGTCTCTTTCCCTGGACCAAGCCCAGGCACCTGTGCATCCCTGGCACCTTGAAGGTCTCTCCCTTTGAGTTGTGGCCACCAAGAGGGTTGAGGACGCAGCACCCGAGGTCTCCAGCGCTTTACAGGAGCCCCCTGGGCGGCAGCTGGACTGAGATCTTCGGTGGCCTCCTATAAACCGGCAGCCCAGCCTCTTCTAGAACTACCAGGGACTGGAGCAGGAAAGGACTTCGAAGCGAAGACTGCCCTTGTCCCGCCTCTTCCGGCTTCGATGGAAAAAATGGGCTTCCTAATGGGTTAAAATCCTTTAAACAAGGAGCTTGGGGGGAAGGGTGTCGTGCACTCCTAGAGAAAGGTAACAGTTGCCGACTGGGTCTGGGAACGTGCTTGGCGCTGACCCTGCGGGCATCTGACTGGTCTTCCAGCTCAGGAAAAAGAATTTGAAAGAGGCTTAGCGTGAAGGGGAATCAAAGAGGAGGTTGTGATTTGGTCGAAGGTGCCTGGTTTAGTGCTGTAATTGTCTTATTATTTTTTTTTATATATATATTTCTTGGAGTAAACATTTTAAATAAACGACATCATTGTCTACTGTCCTGGCTTTTTTGCGTTTCTTTTTTGGTTGGAATGGAGCTCTGTTTTTCTTAACTCCTAGTATGTGTACCCCCTAAGCCCTGGCACCCACAGCAGGTGGTGTCAGGAGACACGTGGCCCCAGGGGAGCTTCCAGGTTTAAACCACAGTGGTTGAAGTGAGTGGATCCCCCAACTCCACCCCAGATGCTAGGGGAGAGGGACCGTGTCAGTTCCTCAGTTGTCCAATTCAGAAGAGGACTTCCCATTTTCACGGGGGCTTTGAGAGGGAAAAATAAGTCATGGGAGGCATCCAGAACAGTGACCGCATGTGCTACCCACTCTCCAGACTTCAGGCCAGTGCTGCTCCCTGCAGGCAGTGTGGCCAGCTGCCCACCAGAGGGCACCAGGAGGCTGGCCTTCGCTTCTCCGGGGCTGGCAGGCATTCATTCGCCTTGACGCTGCTGCTGAGTCTAGACCGGACAGACTCCTAGACAAGACCCTGGCACAGGACACTGGCTCCCTGCAGCCACAGAGATGCCTGGGATCCCTGGAACCTCGCGTGCTGGCCGCCCTGTGTTTACTGGCTGAATAGTGTCCAGACCAGCCCGTCCTGGCAGGCATTCGCCCAGTTTGGGAGAGGAGGAAACCGTCTCCCACGGCCTATTAGCTGCAGAAGCAGCATGTGCACTGTTGCAGGACAGTCCAAATGTAAAACACAGTGTTTTCCCCATCTCCCACCTTGGCAGTTTGGAGCTTCCCATCAGATGCTCCTGTCCTGGAAGAGCCCCTGTGGGCAGGGAAGCCACTGCTGGGGGCAGCGTCCCAGCTGACACACTGGCTGTCATGTACTAGGCACGTGCTGCAAATTGAGTGTTGTGTGTCTCGCCCCTGACTCCTGCAGTCTTGTTTATTGTTTTTTTGAGACAGTTTCGCTCTTTCGCCCAGGCTGGAGTGCAGTGGCGTAATCTCGGCTCACTGCAACCTCCGCCTCCTGGTTTCAAGTGATTCTCCTGCCTCAGCCTCCTGAGTAGCTGGGATTACAGGTGCCCACCACATGCCTGGCTAATTTTTTTATTTTTAGTAGAGACGGGGTTTCACCATGTTGGCCAGGCTGGTCTCGAACTCCTGACCTCGTGATCCTCCCACCTTGGCCTCCCAAACTGCTGGGATTACAGGTGTGAGCCACTGCGCCCGGCCTTGTATTTTTGAGGCGGAGCCTTGCTCTGTCGCCCAGGCTAGAGTGCAGTGGTGTGATCTCTGCTCACTGCAACTTCTGCCTCCTGGGTTCAAGCAATTCTGCCTGTGGCTGGAGGATGGGAGAAGCCTCCTGAAGTCAGGGGCAGAGAAGGCAGGCTCCCCACAGGCGGCTCTGGAGTTTGCTTTTTAAGATGTCCCCCAGGCCGGAGTGCAGTGTCACAGTCTTGGCTCCTCCCAACCTCCCCCTCCTGGGTTCAAGTAATTCTCCTGCCTCAGCCTCCCGATTAGCTAGGGTTACAGGCGCACGCCACCACACCCGGCTAATTTTTTTTAGTAGAGGTGGGGTTTCGCCATGTTGACCAGACTGGTCTCGAACTCTTGAACTCAGGTGATCCCCCCCGCCCGCCTCCCCACCTCGGCCTCCCGAAGTGCTAGGATTACAGGCGTGAGCCACCGTGCCTGGCCTTTGGCTCTGGGGTTTTCTCACCTGCAAAGCTGCTGCCTCCTGCTGCTGTCCTGCCCCGTCAAGCCAGCAGCCTTGCTGGCCAATGTCCTCCACTCAGAGGCTCCTTAGGCTCCCAGGGAACAGCGGAAAGGGCTGGAAGGATGGCGAATGGGGAAGGAGACTTGCCTGTTTCTACCCAGTCCTGCTTTGCCCCAAACACCTGCCCCAGCCCATTGAAGGGCGGGGACCTGCGGGAGGGTGATGTGAGATGACCACGCTGGAGGGTCTCAGGATCCAGCTTAGCTGGTGTTAACACCAGATGGTAGCAGTGGAGCCCACTCTCCAGACTGGGAGGACTCAGCAGGCAGGGATGCAGGGAGGGGAGAAGGGGAGACAGGAACAGCCCCTTAAATGCTTTGGAAGGGAAATGGGGGTCACCTCCTTCTAAGCATTCTGGGTACTGAAGCAGCCTGGAGGGGAGAGGACTCCGTGCCTTCAGAGAACTAAAAGATGGCCTGTTGCAGGTTGGGAGGCACATGGGAGGGCTGGAATCTCCAAAACCCTTGGCTGCCCTCACACTGGGTCCCCAGCACTGCCCCCCACCCCGCCACCACCCGCCCCAAGTAGCTGGGATTACAGGTGCATGCCGCAACGCCCTACTAATTTTTGCATTTTTAGTAGAGACGGAGTTTCCCCCATGTTGGTTGCTGGCCAGGCTGACCTTAAACTCCTGGCCTCAAGCAATCCATTTGCCTCAGCCTCCCAAAGTGCTGGGATTACAGGCATGAGCCACCACGCCTGGCCGTCTGTCTGCTATGCAGGCAGTGGAGGCTTTTGTACTTCTACAGAGATGTATTCCCCCAGCCCTCAGCAATGAGAGGTGCCATGTGTCTTTCTAGGGCTTTATGTAGATAATTCCAGTCCTCACAACAACCTTGAGATAGGCACAACTCTTACCCACTTGCGCTGGTGAGGAAACAAGCACAGAGCCCGCTTAGCTTGTTCTCTCACACTTTGACCAGTACACGGAGCATTTCCTCTCCTTCCCTGCAGCAGTAGTGCAAGCATGGTGCCAAATGACCACCGACCTTTGCAGGGGGATACAGTGGGGAGGGGTGGGGCCTGGGGCCTTTTGGAGCACATCTGTGTCTAGAGGGTGTGGCCAGTGAATCTTCAGC